TTGTAGAATCCATTGGAAGGTATCATATACTATTGATGATGACCTGTTGACAGACTGTAACACATTTCGTAACTCCTATAGCCTAAGGAACAGCTTTGTTTGTCCAGAGTCTTTCGGAACTATTCTCGTTTTTGCGACAGCATCCCTATGAACAGTGTCATTCTCAATGAGGTGTTTATGGCGATTTTCCCAACCAGTGTGCTCCAATCGAAAGTCACACACGGGCGACCACGGCTAGTTTTTGCTTGCTGACAACAATATCTAGAATATTACAAAGCAAATGGAATTTTAGCCTGGAAATCCATCGCGTACTAATTTCTTTGATTGTGTGGGTATGCAAGGGAAATTGTTTCAGCAACTGCACCGCGTTGTTTTTCCGCCGAATCTGTGGCAGTCTCACGCCGCACGGTTTTGTTTTCTCTTGTTCTATTGTTTCGAGACAATACGAGAAATCTCAAGCGGGTCACAGAGTGTCGCAAATAATTTCACCACTCTCAAATAATTTTTGCTACATAGTTTTCGTGTAATTTGTCCCTAGTACTTGTAGCATGTAGAATTTACTTATCGTTAGTTCATGCACCTCAGTCGACGATCAGGGCCAGTATTCGACATTGTCGCAAAGCTTTGAAACTTGGAAGGTAAAGTGTGAACCATTTTATTAATTCAGTGCTTTCAAACTTAAAGGCAAGATTCAAGCTTAAACTGATGAGGTAATTCTACTCAAATGTGATGTAGGGGTGGGAGGTGGACCGCCAGTGGAGAAAAAGGAAAAAAAATCCTGAAATACACAGGAAATACGAGCCTTTTGCTCTACGCTGCGGAGAAGTTCAAAAGGCCGGCAGGGAGATGAGAGATAATGTGAGCGCGGAGAGCGGTAGAGAAGTCCGAGAAGAGAGAGCATAGCAGATCAAAGCGACGCAGACAAGATATCGAGCGGTGGGCGGAGCGTGTCGCAACAGGTGGAGCGTGTCAAAGTCCTTGGCCCCTAGCGCCTTAGTGACGCATTTCGATGCGGGAACTTGGCGAGTCGCCTGCAGTTGCGTCCCATGCACTTCTAGCCACTTTAAGGGCTTATTAGGTGGGTCTGAGCCCGAACTTTGCCTTTAAATGCAGTGAACACGACGGCTGGAGGGTTTTGACGACGTCGCTGAACGTCCTTGGAAGACCAGATCTCTCAGCGCGCGGAGGGATTGAATGGAGCCAACCTAACGCTGTACCTAGATGACGCCCGATTACGCCGTCGAAACCGCTCCGCCTTTCAGTTATCGTGTTCGCGGCCTCTCTTGGTGCGCCTGCCCTTCTGGCGGTAGTGAGGTGCAATAGCGGCAAATGGTGCAACTCTCGTGGTTGTGAGACAAAATCACTCATCCAGTTTTGCTCGGACCAGCAAGATTAATATCCACGTGGTGGCTAATTGATATCAGATTTCACCGAGAGCATGAAAATCTTGAATCTTACACCGGCTATCCTCAAGTCACAGTATGGGTCAAATGTTATTCAATCATTGCCGCATTCTGAACCAAAATGGTATGCGTGGCCTATCCAAAAAGATTAGTCAACAACGAATGTTATTTCATCCTCCACTTTTATGCATTTCCACAGAAACACAGCACGTTTGACGTTTGAGTATAACGCGTAGCTTGATAAACCAAAGTGATCTTTGGCCCTTTTTAGGGTCTTGTAGGATCGCGATAGCTCTCCTCTTCTTCTCAAATACTTCGAAACTACTGCTCAACACCGAAATATGATCAAATTCTAAAGGTAATGATCGCGTTGCTGGATGGTGGTGCGGTTTTGATGACGTCATTAGGGAGCCAGACCCTTCAGCGCGCTGGGGATGTGGTTGGAATCGCCTCTCAAACGCTCCTCCACCAATGACGTTCAGGGACGTCACCACATAACCGCAACGCCCTCCAGCCATCGTGACTACTGCCTGCAACCCAAAATTGTCGCCAGAGAAGCGCATAAGCTGCGGATATACAGAAAGTGGCAGGACTAGTGCAGCGCGATGCTTTCTAAGGAGCCTCACTATCACGCGCATAGCCGTTGATCAAACTTGGTCCATGTGAATTCGAGCGAAAAATGGAGAATGAGTTCAGTAAAAGTTTATTATAAGATATTTCCGTAACATCGTACTGTACACATAAGTAAAGCCTAACAATAAAGTAATATTACAGCCAGTATTATGAAGTGAACCGTATTTCTTGTCTTGACTAGTATCCATCGATACGTCCATTAAATCGTGAAGTATAAGAAACCTCCGTGTCCATAGTAATGCTATCAAAGAGATGCAAGGGGTGATCTGTCGCGTGCCGAAAGAAAGTGGTGTAAGGAACATCCATGCCTTGCTCGTCGTTTTCTGACAGTTAATGCACATGCAGGAACCAAACTTCACCTGAAAGATTAGATAGTAGCGCCATGTACTGCTTTATCCTTTAAATGCATAGGAGGAATTCTAAGAATCTCAAAAATGACCTGCAGAGCAACCCGTTCCAATCAACCGTTTTTATACATCTAGAGGTGCCTTATACTAGACCCTCAAACGGAAAAGAGCTTAGTTGGCCTGGCGAGTTTCAAAAACGGGTCTGACCCTCAGATTTCGCGTATGGTTTGCGCCTCTTTTCCAGACCACCTCCACCTCTTTGAGCTTCTCATTTAGAATGTTTTGTGATATCCAAAGTAAAACCATAAGGTCCAGATCTGCGAAACTCACATAGTCCTCATCATCAATCGTGGTGGCACTCCCTTCGATCTCGTAATTGGTATAGTTCTGACCGTGGAGAGCGTTTTGAAGGCGAAATGCAAGCATTCCCAGACGAAGATCGTTTCTCATGACATCCCTGAAAATTAAAAGATTTCCAGTGACATCAATTTCAAAGGCCTCAATCAGAGTTGGTTTAAGTCTACCAGGGTCACTTCGATGGGAAAAGCGATCAACAGCTTCATAGTACATCCTCCCCCTTGCCACCTATTCCCCACTTGTGGAAGTTTTCAAAGTTTGCTTGACCCTTATAAATTAACAATGTATTGCCACAGGGCGCTACGTGATAATTAGGAACTACAGAAAACGCGTGAGACTAACATCGAGAGATTGACCATCGCACCAACACGAAGTAAATGCAAGGTTTGCAGCGTATCAAGGTTAATGTGCTAAAGCAGCCAAACCAACCGAAATTGCACATGCAACCCAGGTCGGTAGGCTAAATCATTGCGTATGCTGCTGTAACTGCGATTAGAGCAATGAAAGCATATACGTTTAATGAATTTCAGTCAATTATGGCTACAACTGGCTGGTATTAAGCCGGTGCTGTCCTAAAACGTCGACAATACGCCCTTCTCCGTACCATTCCAGCTAATGAATGGACTTTGTTGGTGACTTATGAGTTAATCTTGTTTTTCGCTTTTTCTTTGCGACCAATTCCCCTCTAGCTTTCACCTAAGTGCCCAAGTATCACAAAAATTCAGCAATAGGTGCACTTAATAATAACAAGTATTTTAAGTCTCCCTCTGTATGGCAAGAAGCGATCGGCTTGGTACTCAGGGATTCTCGCCTTGTTTCGCCAATCCATCTCCGGCTACCTTTTTCGTGTAGGATGCAGACGCGCTACCATTCCAACAAGGTCTCACCATCGGCTGCCACCAATCCAGAATCCGAACAGAAAGCCGTTGGTAATCCAGTAAACCATCCCCGCAGAGCACTCAGCTGAAAAATTCTATGATAAGAATCCACTTGGAATTCTTTCACAACCACTAAGACCACCTCTAAGAGGCTTTAAAGCTTTAGAGGCTTAGAGGAGGAGCATTTGTCGCTTTAAGGAGGAGCACTTGTCACCTCTAAGCTGTGATAAGGCGACTAGAACACTGATAAGAGAATGGAAGGAAACTTACGCGTTCGGAGAACGAATTCATCAAAGAGTTCAGTACTTTGCCATAGTTGTCAGCACGTTCGTTGATACCGCGCAGGTCCATATCTCGTCGATGTCGGGCTCCAATTCGGGCAAACGACGCCAGATGACGGGGTTCACGGATGACGTCATCGATTGTGTAACATCGGGCTATCACCTGGAAAAATTATTCAAGATGAAAATAGTGAGATTTGGGCTAAAATCGAGACTCCACGGCCCTCGGTCTGCCCACAACCCTACTTGATGGCTGTTGTTTGGGATAATAAATCTAGCGGCTATGTCTTTTGTTAGCTGTGTAACATGTCGACCTGTCCTATAGTATCTGCCGAAGCTAATTGCTAAGTACGAATGTATTCACTCCGGGTCACTGCCAGACTATAATATGCACCCTTAGCTCCGTGAATACTGTAATTAATCGTGATCGATTAATTGATTAGGTGTAGTAGCGAATTGATGGATTACTTCCCGGTTCCAGAAGGTAGATTAGTCTTTGCATTGTTTGTGACAGTAATTATGACTGATGACTTTTATAAGGTGAAAAGAGAGCTAGAGGAAGGTGAAGGTCACAAAATTGGGATTATGTTGGAGAAGAGCTAAGCTGCTACTCCGCACAAACTTGGTTCATCCCAGCACCTCCACCTAAACCTAAACTCTCCCCCGCCTTTAGCCGTCTTCATCAGCAGCATCTCCGCTGCTCACCTAGCTTACAGACTCCAGACTAGGTACTTTCTTCCTTCCGCCAGAACTTTATAAGCCCTTTTTGATATTTATTCTGAATGCACAATGGTGGAGTGCGTCGTCACAGCATAGATGTGGAGCCTCTCTTCCTTCCATCCTCTCCCCGCTTTTTACCACTTCTGAAGCTTAGTCCAACCCCGTCAGGCTGACTGCACCTGTTTTGAAAAGTTCTTTCCCTGGTGTTGTCTCAGTTTTCCTTACCTCGACGCTCCCCTTCTCATCAGCGCGCTATTCTCTCGTGGTTCACATATTCTGAGACCAGAAGAATGAAACCTCTCTTCTTTCCTGGACAACTCCAGAGTTGGCCTGTTCGAAAGGAACCGTCTTCGAAATTCATTAACTAGAGTGGTGCAGGGAGCAGCTTTTATCAGCGTACAAGTAGTGTTGTAAGAGAACATTCTCCTAGACTGTTTTAGCCCAAAGATGTTTCTAGAAAGCAAAAGGGGTGAATATCCGAACGAAAGATTACCCTGGATGACGCATGATTAACACAGCTACAAGTTTTTCAGACGATCCCGCTGAAACAAAAACACTGTATTATGACGTTTGGTAAGGAAGGTACTGGATATAGCAGCGAAAGACAGCTATTGAAGTGCCATGGCTCATCTAAAAGGTTGGCTATTGCAAAGAATACGGAGGATTGCGGGGGCAATGCATCATTGATTTTTGATGAAGAATTCGAGATGAAAGAAGCGTTTGATGAAGAAGCGTCAGCAGAATCTCACTTTTCTGTAAAATGGGCTTAAACCTTAGGGCCAACGGACATAGAGAGAATCCCATGCCTGCGTCGACCATTACTACATTTTACGAAAAATTTGGTCTCTTCCGCTCGCTAGCTTACCGCTAAAGATTATGCCACCGTGTTTCGCGATCTAGGTAGCCTTCCGAAAGAGAGGTAACTTACTATGTGAGGAAAATAAAATATCTATAAGTACAGACTCATTAATATTCCAACCTATTATGCACTTATGAATGACCTCTTTCTACACTGTCATTGCCGCCAGTGTGAAAAGGTTTCAGGACCGGATATCAATGAAAGAACCCCTGAGGAGTGGCGAACCCATTGGATGATCATGACACATTTCAGATTTCCTCATGAGGGACCACCATCACCATCGTCGGTGATTGATACGCAAATTTGTTTGCTTTGGTCCTTGACCCGTGCGTTTTACGACTTGCGCGTCCACTGCCAACAAACAGCACATTGCGCATTGTCTTCAGCTGACGGTTTGCCATCACTATCGTCGTAACGGTTCGCGAGCCGCGTGTGACATCGGCCGCCAGTTCCAGAAAGCTTTTGGAACTTCGTCGTGGGAATGTGTTAGGACCAAGAGTGAGCTTCAAGAGTTCTGTGAGTTCCATAGAAATTATGGAGCTTTCAATGTTGACCACCCTCATCGGGATGCGCCGCGCATTCTACTCCCATTCGGATTCGTAGTGACATTTGAATGTGACATGGCCTATAGAACGATTAGAAAGTGGGGGGAAGGCAGTTGATGTGCATGTATGCTAGTCTTTTTATTCTTCCAGAGCTATCAATCGACAAACCCGAGATGGATGGCTTGGTTGACCTAGACGGCAAGAAATCCAAGATTTGATCCCAGAACTGTGAGCGTGGTGAGCAGCGCCTTTTGTTCCACCCCCCCCATTCTGTAGAAGGTAGTCGTCAGTAGTAGAGGCTCTTGCCATAGGCTACATGGAGCCGTCATTTCGCTGGTTTTCTTACCTTTTTCTTTTCGAGAATTGGTTCTTGATTTTTTGAGTCGGGAAGAAACACACATTTTTTTTATTGATTTGATTTTTAGGATTTTTGGTTGATGATGGGAAGGCCAATGAGTTGCAGGGTTTACGCTATGGTTAGGGTGTTCTTACAATGGGGATAGATAAGATTTGGGCGTACTTGTTGGGACGGTCCTGAGCGCTCTTTGCATTTCCATACAGTTCACTTGTTGGAACTGGGCAACGGTAGAGGCTTGGTGGGGTTGGGGTCACCGAGTCGAGCTGCTTTTGACAACGTTTCTGCGGAGAAAGACATGAGTCTTGCAGGCTAATTAAACTGAGGTGTTTGCCACTTCAAAATTCTATTTCGATTTTTCGAGGACTTTTACCTACCACGAACCTTTGCTTTCCACTTGATCTTGAGGTTTTATCGCTCCTAATGTCTTAGGTGCATTAACTAGCACCAATTTGGTATGCACCTGTGCATTATGCGAGAGAAGGGTCAGCGCCATAGGAGGCAGTACCCCGGCGAGAGAGTTAATCCCGTTGCATAAGCGTTGTCAAGAGCTGATTGACAATATTTATTGTACACCTAGGCACAAGTTTGGAACAATGCCAACTAACATGAACAGGGCCTTGCCTTATATGGTATAGCATTCCTACAAGCTTTTTATAAGGTTCTACGAGAAAGTAGGTCGCTGAATGGAAACGGATGACTGGAAGCCATTGATGGGAAACGACTCGCGCATTTCATTAGACAGTGTAGCCGACAACGTCTGACCCAATTCGCTTCACAGTTGAAAGCCACGTATGCGTCATTGAATTCGGTCTCTTCAAGCGCTACGGGTGAAGTGTGATGGGTGAAGGCGGGGCCACGCGCCCCTACACGGATGCAAAGTTCAAAGCCGTCGACGCATCAAAGCGAAGCCGCCTCGCTGGCTGCTTGCGATCGCGATACGGGTCAAAGGGCAACTTGCCAAACTGCCAGCGATGTCAAATCATTTCATGAACCATTGAGCCTTATTACTACTACTTTTATGATCTCTTTCGGATACTCATTTAATTGTCGAAAAATACTCGAGCGATTTAAAGAACAATTTTGAAACAGAAAATTTCGAAGAAATAGTACTTTAACCATGACCAGGAAGAACTGTAAATAGATCTTAGGTTTCTGAATTTTTTCAAAGTTGGAAGCTGGCCTGGTACTGTCACTGGTAGCACTTTTGTTTGATAACGAGTGATGAAGGGTTGAAACGCTATCTATAAGCGAAAACTTTTGCTTATAACCAAGCATTTTTGTGTTATGAATGAGACAATAAAACCAATCAAAAAATAAATCAATAAGTTCAATGCATAGCGGAGATTGAATAAAAACGAATATTCAATTTCGGAATACAAGTTCTATTTTCAGTGACTAGCACGGGATTGGAATTTCCACAGGATTCAGTGAGAAACTTAAAGCATAGCAGGGCGGAAGTGGTGTAGTGACAAGTGGCGCGCTTACCACGCGAGCGGTCCGGGGATCAAATCCTGGGTCGTGAGTCGCCCGGGCCAACCAAGCCTTCCATCCCTCCGGGGTCGGTTAATTGGTACCAGACTTGTCTGGGAGGATAAAAACACTGACTTGAACATCGGCTGGCCCCCGCAAGTCATTGTATAGGCCACATCGCATTCAAACGCCACTGCGAATGTACAAATGGAAGTAGAATGCGTGCCGCATCCCAAAAGGGATTGATCAACGGCAAATGCTTTATCCTTTTATCCTTTACAAAGAACTTCACATAGTATAAAATGAAGGAAATATCACAAAAATATGTAAAATAACTAGAAGGAAATTGACGATTTTATTGTAATCGTCGTAATTTAACATTATCGTCGCGCTGCAAATTATCCCAATGGGAGAGAAAATGAATATTTTTTTCATTATCGCATAGTTAGCGCACTTCAAAAAGAAACCTTGTCGCTCGTCAAAAAACTTTTCTGCTCTTCTTTATGGTGGTCTCTGTTCTGCTAGTTTTGAATTATTGACGCATTTCCTTGAATGAATTTTTTTGGTCATCTTTTATGCTCAACGGTTTTCTCGAAATTTTCCTGAGGCTGAAGGACTATAATTAATCCTTAAATGAACTTATTCCGGAACTGGGTAAAAACCCGAAGCTAAAAACAGAAAATCAGACGTAAACGTACCAATTACTGCATTCCATTGTTGATCGACTTCTGCCCAATCGGCCAAACAACCTTTCATGACGTTTGCGCACAGACCCGGGCATGGTTTCGATTGTGGCTCACCGGAGCACAACGAGCAGTCCCACATTTTGGCCAAATTGATCTTACACTCCTTCGATACTGACACCTGAAAAATGGAAGAAAAAAATTGGATTAGAGAAATTGGACGTATGGAGATAAAAAGGATAAAGGATAAAGCATTTGCCGTTGATCAATCCCTTTTTGGGATGCGGCACGCATTCTACTTCCATTTGTACATTCGTAGTGGCGTTTGAATGCGATGTGGCCTATACAATGACTTGCGGGGGCCAGCCGATGTACAAGTCAGTGTTTTTATCCTCCCAGACAAGTCTGGTACCAATTAACCGACCCCGGAGGGATGGAAGGCTTGGTTGGCCCGGGCGACTCACGACCCAGGATTTGATCCCCGGACCGCTCGCGTGGTAAGCGCGCCACTTGTCCACTACACCACTTCCGCCCTAAATAATGTATGATTTCTAAATATTATACTAATGCTAATATTTATATTTAATTTCCCCTCAACAGCAAATGTAGCGACCAAAGCACTATATGGACTGTTATGGTCGGATCTCAACAATTTTTCACTACTACGATATAAGTAACCAAAGGCATGAAGGCCATAAAAACACAGTGTTCCCTAGGCGCATTCCAAAATTCGTTGGCAGCGAAAGCATGGCGCATTCCAGGAGATGTTCAGAATCGACTAGCTAGAGAGGTGATGAAGCTCGCATCCCTGAACGCCTAGTGAATCGTGGAAAATTTAGAAGTCTGGTATATTACAGTTCGATAAGCCGAGCGCTTCCCTGAGGGAAATTCAGCAGGCTGACTGATTGAGACGGCAAACCGGTTGAAAAAAATACCCAATGCCAACGTTCCCAGCTCTGGAGGTATCATGAACGACATCTGCTTACGTCGGTGTGGATGACGACAAAGTGCGATAAATAACCAAGTTGCGTCATCGATAAGTAGGCGGCTGATCAATAACCGTCTTGGTATCGATCGATAAGCCGAACAGCAGATATCACAGATGGATGTCCGATCTCTAACATGGATCAATGACCCGATTCGAATCGATCAATAGGCAGAGCCGATTTGATGCTTGCAATTACTCGCAGCTTCATCTAGCCGATCACGGTAATGAGGCAAGTAATCCGGTCGGGGTTCTGTAATTAGCTGCTAACCGCCAACAACAGGTGCATCGGATTGCAGCAATGAGGATGCATAGTTAAGTGGTTGGAGGACAGCGGTCTAGGGTTATAAGACAACCAGGTTGGCCTTAGAGGTCGGCGTGGTTGAAAAGACTATCGGCTAGAACCCTAGTCAAACTTCAGGACCAGGCATGTGTCGCGGAAACAGTGTTAGGCGGAGCGAGAAGGTGGCTCTGTATTGTTCTGTTTTCAGAAAAGATCCTACTGGGGACGAGGGGGATCAGCTCGAAGAATGGTTCTGGAAGATTTGATTGTAAAGAGGAATTTTGAAAAATTTTTGGAACCCTACTCAGATTTTTTATCGTTTCGCCATTGCACGCATTGTGCAAACCCTTCGCCCCCCCCCCCACCTCTGATGGAATTATGGATATTTTAAGAGGTGTGGAGATGTTCAAGGTGCTGGAGGGATCACGTCATGATATTTTTCAAAACGCTAAGCTTGACCCTCTTTCCCTGGTTTATACGGATCCCAGTTTCATCATAGGTGGACATCTTGAATTATTGATAGCTGAACATCTTGAATTATTTGGTTCTTAAAATCAGTCTAAAGCCTTAGTACTTTTGTAAGGAGCTCCGGGTTTGAACCGACTTTGTTTGGGTCCGGTTCCCCTGTTTTTTTTTTCAAAAATTCGCTCAATAATGCCTTTATTTGAATTCTACCCAGTGAGCCAGAGGT